AAACTGTGAAATAAATAGCATTTTGAACATAAGGCAGACTGCAAAAAGCATTCTGACAGTTAGTGATGAAAATGTTGAATGAAAAAAGAATGAAGAACAGGTGATTAATTCCCTCCAGAGTAGAGGCCGAGAATGTATCAACAAAGACTTAATAGAGATGATAGCATATAGCTGAGGAATGGATAAGTTTAATATGTAGAAATAGAACACTTACTTCCAATACTTACTCTATAAAGAGTGTGTGCTTGTGTGTATATAAACTGACTCTTCACCAGAATGTCACTCAGTAAGCACAGACATTTCCATCTAGTTTGCTCATAGCTATATATTCCCAGTCTATAACAGTGTCTAGCGTATGATAGGTATCCTACACATATTTACTGAATGAATAAATAATTATGAATCAATAATATGAAAGAATGAAAGAATGGAAGAGGTAAGGAATGTCACAAGAAATGTTATGAGTAAAAACATAGACAAAACATAGAAAATGATGTTGGGGCCTCCCTGGTTGTGCAAGGGGTTAAGTGTCAGCACTATGAAGCTATCACAACTACTGCAGCAAGTCAGATCTCCCACTAGGCAGCTGACCCACATGGTGCAGCAGACCTCTCCTGTCTCTCCCGCTGCTCCCTTCAGCAGTGTATTTCAGTCAACCTGCCTGTTCTGTTCCCCACTCTGTCTCTGGTGAATCCTCTCACCCCCCACACCTCTGGCCTGTACTCCAGCTCTTGTATGCATAAATAAATACATTTTAAAAGAAAAAAGAAAAGAAAAGAAAATGATGTTGACTTGGGAAGCCTGGGTTTCCAGATACCAGGGAAGGAGAGCTGGAAGGAGGTAAGGGATCCAGGAACTATGGACACAGATGCTGATGGCTGTCCTGGAGGGCTGGTGGGATTTAGATAACACAGATGAGAAATGATCAATCTAAGTCAAACTAAAGCACTGAGATCTTCAGGTAAAACTGAAAGGAAACCACTCCCCCATGAAAAAGAAATGCCCTGACTCAGGCCTAATAACCAACCTGCACAAAATTCTCCTCTACACATCATGGGTCGTTGACAACAGGTGACATATAATGACAGAGAAGGAAAAAATGTGTGTGTAATTATAATAAAGATGAAAACTATGGAAATCATCATGAGCATCTAAATTCAAAATGCCAATGAATGTAAATCATGTTATTTGCATAGAAATGTGCCATTGCTGCAGATATTGATTAATATTCAGAAGTAAATGAATAAGAAATAAAATGCCACTTTTAAAATTATAAAAGAAAAATGTAATTACTCTTATCTTTTGGAAAAACCTCACTCTTAGAGGTTCTTAACAAGAGAAGGGGAACTGAAAATAAACTGCTGTTAAAGACTTTAGTCAGTAGTACATCATGACCTTCTTTTTTAATGTTAAGAAATGACTACCCAATCAGTTTCTGTCATAATGATCTGTAATCTTAGCAGTGTGAGATTGATGATAAATACCAAGTACTGATTTTCTAATAACATGAAAAACAGATATACAACACATTTTCATGTAGGAGTCTTTCCAGTCTGGTCATTGTCACATAATTCAAATTAAGTACTTTTAAGGTATCTGTTAATGCAAATTACCTAGTAGCAGACTTTTAAAATACTGGTAACCAAAGCTTATTTTTATCTGAGGCTCAGATAGTTAAAGTATCTGAAATAATTGAGTTCTTGTCTAATTACATAATGACTAATTTAGAACCTCATTTATTTGGAGAGTCTCTGGCATAGCAAATTCATTTAAAATGACACACAAGTGCAGGTAATTAAAAATTAAAGTTGAAATCAAGATGCAAGATGAAAAAAAAGGAAGATTAAAGCTGGTTTAGACTGCTCTGATTAGTTGTGGAGGGCAGTGAAATGGGAGAAGGACTTAATAGACTTGCAAAGAGGCAGAGGATGGAATGCAATTCCATGAGCACCAATGCTCTTTTGAATCTTTTCAATATATGTCCCGTTGCAATGCTGGCAGGTGCAACTGGAAGAGATGACCTCAGAGCACAAGTCAGTGACAGAGATTCTCAGTACCAGCCACGGGAAGCCTTCCCCATGTCTCCTGTCCTGGGAGACAATGCCAGTACTCCTGAGAAATAAGGGAGGACACAGCATGAGGTAGCAGGCCATTATACACAGATGCACCTAGTCTATGCCAAGCCCTTTAGTATAGTAACCTCATGCAGCTGCTTGAGCAATAACACACACATAATCAAAATGCTCTTTGCAAACGCATTTTACCAGTTTGCAAATGACGTTTATATAGCCACTCTCACTTTATCCTCACACCACCCAAGACAGAACAAGCACTTTCACTGGACCCATTTTACAAATGGAGGCCCCAATTGTTTAAGGAATCAACCTAAGGTTGACATATCTAAAGTAGGGTTAGAAGTAAAAAATTTTGACTCCAAACCCCTAAATGTGCCATGCTCCTATTTACGGGCACTATTTCTCTCACTCTTTCTGTATTTTTTCTTTTTTTTTTTTCCTTTCTCTTCATTTTCCTTTCGCCTACTTCCCTGTCCACTTCTTTCATTTCCCTCCCTTCCATCACCAATTCCTTGCTTAGTTCCTATTATTCCTGTCTGTGCCAGCCAATTAGACATCCTAACTTGAAGAGTCTGGCTGCACAACTGAAAGGCACAAAGCTTTCCCATTTCTCAGGTGTTTTTGCTGCAACACTGACCCCTGATAACTCACTGGGGGAAGTGGAGGTAACCTGCAGGATAGAGGTAATTACTTTTCCAAACCCTATTTTCACTCTAGTTCACTGAATTTCAATGGAGGGGGTCAATCTATGAAGAGTCCAAAACTGTGATTTTTCATGAGTTCTATTATTTCCACTCAGAACCCCAGAAAACAAAGCTATCCCTGCCTTTGCTCCAGTAAAGACCCTCAGTCTGTATCAGAAGAACCACTTATAACACTTTGCCAAACCTGGATCATTCTTCTTGAGACTTATAAATGCATATTGACTGTGCCATAAAGCAAATGTACAGGCAAATTCCTCTCCTAAGAACCAAGTGAGCTCACAAATGGGAGTGATAATACCGTAACCTAGCATACCGTTTCTCAAAGGATGGTCCCATATCTCAAAGGATGACATTATCTGAAGTTTTGCAAAAAAAGGATACTCTTGGACCACAATCTAAGTTGAATGGACTGGAAATTCTGGGGGTAGGCCCAGAAATCTGTGTTAGTTAATAAGCACGCCAGATGATTCTGATGCTGGTGAAGTTGGGAACCAGAGTCTAAGTACAGGTCCATGGAAAGAGCTCTGCACTAGGAGCTGAGGTACATGACACATAGCCTAATCAGGAGCATGGGTAAAGTGTGTCTGTATCCAGTCCCATTTCCTCATTCATCAAGTGAAGTCTTTCCTGGTGAGGATCAGGAATGATTCTGTCATATGCATTCTGTCAACCTTCCTGACCATCATTATGACTTACTCTTACTCCACAATAGTCTTGCCTTCTCAGTCTCAGGACTCAGTTTAACACCCGTCATGGTCCACATGTCAGCTCAGCTGTGATATAAGTCAGGTGGTCTTTGAAGTGACCAGGATCCAGAACAAGGCCAAAACCAGTGGAATAATTCAACAAAACAAACTTCATCCAATTCATAATATAACTGAAAGCTAGCACCAGTTCCATTAAATTTCAGATTGAAATGTCGATTTGGAGTAGGGAGGAGAATCAGTTATAAGACTTGTTGCTTTTTTCCCCAATTGCTGCATTAAATAAAATGTTTATCGAGGGCCTCCCCGGTGGTGCAGCGGTTGAGTGCTGGGTTGCAAAGCTGCCAGCGGCCTCTGCAGCGCCAGTTCGATCCCCGGCTGCTCCCCGGCCACTGGAGGAGGGTCCCGCATGACCGCAGACCTCTCCTGCCGCCCGCTGCTCCCCTCAGCAGTGTACTTCAGTCCTTCTACATGCTCTGCTCCCCGCTCTGGCTCTGGTGAATTCTCTCACCCTCCCGCGCTTCTGACTATACCCAGTGCTTGTATAAATAAATAAATAAATAAATTTATATAGAAAAAAAAGTTTATCAAAAGAGATTGCTATATATCAAAGGATGCTAATATCCCAGCCAAAGTTGATTTATCAAGAATTTGCTTGTCACTCTGTTCGAGTTGATGCGTTGTTGGAAACAGTATATATCAGCCAGAAAGGGTCCTCCAGAAGACTATACTTTGTCTCTCATTAACAGGAATATCCACTTCAACATATCTACCACCACATATTTATGAAATCTCTACCACACACAGGAATTAGGGATACAGCAATTAATTAGTTAGACATGGTCCCTTTCCTTGTGTAACTGGTAGTCTAGCAGGGACAATACAAATTACCTTAGTGTAATGATTGCTAGGGAGCACTGTTATCAGAGCAAGTTCAAGAAAACTCATCTAACATCAGGGCCTTCCTTTTTTAGCAAGGAGCAGCAATGAATTTGAGGATAACATGGCAGTACTTATGTAACCTAACATATGGGCAGCATGCAACAAACTCCTGCAAATAACCATGACTCTCAAATAAGCATCAGAGGACAAATCCCACTAGGAAGGGTGCTCCCTGCTCCCTTCTCAACTGCCCCCTTCCCTTCCTCCAGAGTAACTCCAGTGGAGGGGAGCAGGGATAGACACAGAAACCTCAGTACACAGAGGGAAGGATCAGTGTGAATGTTTTAACTTGTAGCCTGATTTTACTACTTTGCACTATTACTTTTAGTTATAAACATGGTTATTCCCTGCTTTAATATTCACAAAACTTTAAAAAGAAATGCCCCTTGAAATAGGTCTTCTTAATTAAACCCCATCATACACAAATGACTGAATCCTCACTAAATAAATGCAAGGCTGTGATGGAACCTGAGGCTGGTGCCTCTGCTTGCCTTGTGCACGTCTCCCTGCAGTCATCCCATAACCGGATGCCCAGGAAAAAGTGCAGCCAGATACAAAAGCAGGTACACACTTACTGTTGTCCTCAGCAGCACAACATCTGCTTCTTGCAAAGAACATGGGACACAATTTGCCCACACATGCCAGGCAGGTTTCCAGTAAAACACCAGAGGGAGGATCCCAAGTGAGAAAATGGATCCAGCATGGCAGAGGATTTTCCGGCAGCCTTGAGTCCGGTAGCCGAATATCTCCTGTTGTAGAACCAAAATGACCCTGAATATTAGTTTAGCACAATAAACAATACATGAACAAATTATAATTTTTGTGATTAAACTAAGGACAGAGAATGAAGAAATTGAAGAGGGTGAGAAGAGGATAGGGTGAGAGGTAGAGAGGAGAAGAGTTCTCTGATGGTGTGATGATCAGCACTTTTCCATGTGCCTATTCACCATCTTTATGTTCTTGGGAGAAGTATTTATTTAGCATTTTTTCCTATTTATTATTGGGTTATTTGTTTTCTTGCTGCATTGTATGAGTTCTATGTAGAATTTGGATATTAGCCCCTTATTGAAAACTAAATGTTTAAATTTTCCCCCATTGTTAGAAGGTCTTTTTGTTTTAATGACAGTTTCTTATATTACACAAAAGCTTTTTAATTTGATATAGTTCCATTTGTTTATATTTTGTTCCTCTTCCTGTTGGAGATGAGTCCACAAAGACATCACTAAAGCCATTGTTGGGCAGTGTTTTGCCTGTTTTCTTCAATGCATTTTATGGTTTGGGTCTTACTATCATGTCTTTAATTCATTTTGAGTTAATTTTTGTTTAAGGTATGAGATGGTCATCTAGTTTCACTCTTCTGCTTGTGCTTGTTCATTTTTCCAAACATCATTTGTTGAAGACACTCTCCTTTCTCAAATGTATATTCTTGGTTCCTTTGTGATACATTAAATGTTACAAATATAGATTTTGGGGTTTATTTCTGGGCTCTCCATCTATTCCATTGGTTTACGTGCCTGCTTTTGTTCCAGTATTGTACTGTTTTGATTATTATAGCTTTGAGTATAGTTTGAAGGCTGGGAGTTGATACTGCCACTATTCCTCTCTTTTGTCAGGATTACTTTGGCTATTCCATGTCTTTTGTGGTTCCATATGGATTTCAATAATGCTTCTTCTACTCTCTTGAGGAATGCCATTGGAGCCTTGATAAGGATTGTATTGAATCTGTATTTTGCTTTGGGTAAGATGGTCACTTTATTATGTTAATTCTTCTAATTCATTATCAGAGAATATCTTTCCTTTTTTCCTATCGTCTTCTGTTTTTATGTTTTTTTTTTAACAATGTCTTATAGTTTTCACTGTCCAGGTCCTTCACTTCCACCATTGTTAAGTATACTCTAGTTATTTAATTATTTTTGTTTGTGATTGTGAATGGGAGCAGTCCCACTCTTGGGCATCTAACCAAAGGATATGAAAACATCAATTCAAAAGCTCTGTGTTCTGCAGTTTTTTGCAAAATTATTTATAATAGCTGCAACATGGAAACAACCTAAGTGCTCACTGATAGCTGACTGATAGCCACACTGTAGAATACTATTCACCCATACAAAAGATGAAATACTGTCATTTACAATAAAATAAAAAGAATTCAAGGAAATTATGTGTAGTAAAGCAAGTGAGAATGACAAGACAAACATTGGACATTAACATAATGGTTATTTAACAAAGTAAAATAATTACAGATACTAATGCACATTAATAAATGAAATGAGGTTTCTGAGGTTCAGAGGGAGTGGGAAGGGAGAAAGTCAAGGGGTATGTTAGGGATTTGATGGGGAGAATAAAAGAAAGGTGACACCAAATAAGCAGGACTTAGAAGATCTCTGTCAGGAGAGGGGGCATGTGGATCTTGTCTTGCACGGAAGTTTTGAATGGGTGTCTTGAACCTCAGGCTCTAGTGTTAAGCCCACTGTACAAAAGTTTCCCTAAATAAACTGTAAGTGTGATTAATGGATGTACATTCTGGTTGCTGAAATCAAATTACCTTCTCTATTTTGGGGGAAACTTATTTGATCCCACAGCTATATAGCCCAATGGCACCATCTCCATTGTCTTGGTGTTTAAAATGAGCTCAGTAGGGCTTACTACAATAGCAAGGGAAGCAAATTCAAAAAATAAAGAAATGGCACTACATCAAATTAAAAAGCTTCCATGAAATTTTAGGAACTATCATTAAAACAAAAAGACATTCTGCCAAATTGGGGAGGAGGGGATTAAGCATCATAAATCCAAAAAGGAACTAATAACTGAATTCTACAAAGAACACATACAACTTAATAAGAAATCAAATGACACAATCAACAAATGGGCAGGAGAGCTAAATAGACACTTTTCCCAAGAAGACACACAGACAGCCAATAGGCACATGAAAAAATTCTCGTCACTTATTTTTATCAGGGAAATGCAAATCCAAACCACAATTAGATACCATCTCACACCTGTGAGAATGGCCCACATCAAAAAGAACAGAAAAAAAAATGCGTGTTGCTGATTGTGGAGAAAAAAGAACTCTCATACACTGTTGGTGGGCATGTAAACCAGCCCAACTTCTATGGATAATAGTATAGAGGTTTTCCAAAACATTAAAATAGATCGACCATATGAGTCAATAATCCTAGGTATCTACAGAAGCATACAAGAACACTAACTCAAAGGTATATATGCACTCCTATGTTCATTACAGCACTATTTACAATATCCAAGCTACAGAAACAACCTAAGTGTCCAAAGACAGTAAATGGATAAAGGAAATGTGGTATATTGCAAAATGGAATCCCACTCAGGTATAAAAATAAGATTAAATCTTGCTATTTGCAATAATATGGATGGAACTGGAGGGAATAATGCTAAGCAAAATAAGTTAGTAGGAGAAAGATAAATTTTGGATGGTTTCACGTATATGAGGAATATGGGAAAACAAAAGGGTTACATAAAGACAAACTTTGAAAGCTGACCACAGAGACGAGGCATACAGGAGCAGAGGGAGAGGGAGAACGATGAAAATTGAGACTGTGGGTAAGATCACAAGGAACTATGGTGATGGACTATGGGTGCTTTGGTGGTGGGAGAAGTATGGTAACCATTCCTGAGGGGAGAAATCATATATTGCCCCCAAATTAACAACAATGTAATAAAAAAAAGTAGCATCTTCTAAAAGAAAAGTTTACTTCCCTAAAGATAATCCCTTTTCCCTTATTTCCAATTTTTGGGTGTAAAGAGACTGATTTTACCATAATTTCCATGCAATACAACAAATTATGCTAAATGAATGCAACATAACTCACTGCTTACCCCAACTCTAAATCCTATTCAAATTTCTGCTTTGGTAGTTTCTTGTTTGCCATTCTTTCATGCTAAAGGAAAATTTCTCAGATATCCTTTAAGTTGATTTGCTTAGATACTGGTAAGGAATTCCCAATTTGAATAATCTAATACAGAAATCTTAAACTGGAACTGCAAAAAGAAAGGAATGGTATGGTATGGTATGGTATTTCTTAAAATTATAAATTGGTCCTCCAACTATTTTAATATAAAAGTTATTCATTTCTACCTTTTCTTTAAAATAAAAGCAGTGTAACCATTTCTTGCATTCTAAGAATCAGCTAGAACCTGATTCATTGCAGTACTATTTACAATAGGCAAGAATGGAAGGATCTAAGTGCCCATCAATGGATGAGTGAATGAAGAAGATGTGAAATACACACACACACACCCCTATACATACATATATACATACATACATACATACAAACTGGAATACTAAACATCTATAAAAAAATAGATGAAACCTTGTCATTTGCAACACCATGGATGGAACTGGAGGGGAATATGCTAAGTGAAATAAGTCCGATGGAGAAAGACAATATTGGATATACCGGATGTTTCAC